GGGGAGGCGGGGCGATCAGCCCGGGATGGGGAGGCGGGGCGGTCAGCCCGGGAAGGGGAGGCGGGGCGGTCAGCCCGGGAAGGGGAGGCGGGGCGGGTCAGCCCGGGAAGGGGAGGCGGGGCGGTCAGCCCGGGAGCGGGAGGCACTCTTCTGGCGGGAGGAAAACGAAGACGGAAACTCCAGCTCCTGCATTTCCAAGCTGCTGCTCAGGAGCAGACGGCAAATTAGCTACTAGCTCGAGCGCACGAAATAAGAACGTAGAGCCGGGGCTGCCCTAACGCCGCGCACAGTCTCTGCCTCCCGGGCTAGCGGCTGGAGATCAGGGGCATGGTTAGGAGCTTCAGCGTACCACTGCTTGTAGGGCTCACACACACACACAGCACGTTTTGATTCTGCAGTTCAGTGGTGAGGCTGGGTGATTTGGGAAAAAGGCAGTAAACTGGGAGGTCAGGTATCACCACTGCATCTCCTCTAGGTGTAGACGGTAGGCGCCGATTTCTTAGGATGCATCTTGAGCACAGTTCGCACTGAAAGGGTTTCCATTATTTATTTCCATAGCGGACGCTGGCTCGTGGCTTCGGGCTACTCGTGTGCTTTGCTCACAGCCCAGCCCTGGCACGCCTGTGGCTCCTGAGCCTTTCACAGTTACTGCTGGTGCCCCCCCCAAACCTACTCAGATCCATTTGCTGCGCCTGCGCACCCTTTTCGCAGAGCCACTGACGGCCTGCTGTGTAGATGGCCCCAAGAGCCTGCAAGACGACCTCCCGTCAGGCAGCCTGAGCTTTGGACACACTGCCGTTGGAGCGTGTCAGTCCAGTCACTTGCCCGAATCAGGACAAATTCGGAGCTAGTCATTTATGCTCTAGGGTAGTGCTGTCCAACAGAACTTTCTGTGACGATGGGTATGTTCTAAGACCTGTGCTGTCCAACTTAGTAGCCACTAGCCACAACTACTGAGTATCTGAAATGTGGCTAGTGTAGACTGAGGCGCTGAGTTTTTTAAAATCCTGAATGCATGCATGCATGAATAAAAAGGCAGCCTCCATGTCAGAACGCTCAGAAACTACGAGTAGGCTATGCATGAGGTAAGTTTTATTTTCAAGTTGCCTGAGAGTTACCTAGAAACTTCACCTTACGTAGACTTTTGTTCCCGAAAATCAGTCTAAGAGGCCTGAGTCCAATTTCTCTGCTTAGTACCCTGGAAGACCGTGACTATGGTCTAATCCTTCTTTGGTTCTAGTTGTGAGAATGTCTCAGAATGTGCACATCAGTGCCCGTGGGTGAGGGCTGTGGAAGGTGATGGAGGCTGAGATGAATTTGAATGGACCCCAAGACACAGCCTGAAGCTCCACAGGAACATTTTAGGATGTTTGGCTTCTGATTATTGAGATTTTATTGCAAACATCAATAGTGCTTTCATAGCTACCCTGCCAAAGATTTTAAGGCTTAGGATACTCAAAAATTAAACTACTGTTTTGTTATTTTATTTTATTTGTATCTAAATGCTCTAGGTGTGATCCCTGACCCTGAAGGCCTCCTCCTCTATTCACCTCTGGGGCCGATAATCACTTCTTCTTCAGGTCACCCTTGCTGTTCTCCATAATCACAATACGTGGACGTAAGAGGGCTTTGAAAGGAGTTTCAGCTCCACACACCATTGCCATTTTAATCTCGTGTCTCCTCTTGTTCTGTTCCTGGGTCTCATTCTCTTCCCTGCACCCGAGCCTTGGCTGTAACCTATTTGGCACCTCAGTCCCTTCAGAATGGAGAACCCATCTTGTTTCTATCTTTTGCTCAGGACAGAAGCCCCCAAACCTCAGTCCTCTATGCTTTCTGTCTGTTGTCCCAAACTTCTTCCAGAGTTTGTCCCACACTGGTCAGTAATTCATTCACAGGCATTTTAGGGCCCCATACCGCCAAGCACGATGCCAGGGAGGCCATAAACGTTACGTTAGCATGCCTACCTTCTAGGTAAGGAAGGAGAGGTAGAGGAGTAATGAAAACTGTGTCCAGAATCATAAAGCACATACAGAAAGAGATGGCAACAGGAGCCAAGTCTGGGAGCTGTCAACTACTTGGATCAAGACTCAGGTTTGGTGCGCTTTTGGGCTCAGAATAAAGACCTTCAAAAAGAGGATAAGCACATGATGCATTAAGATAATCTGTCACATGAACAATAAACATGCATTGAAGGTCCTAAGAAACAGACAGACCCTGGCAGCCCCATTTCCACAGGAAGCACCAACAACCGAGGAAGAACTTGCTATGGGGTCTCGCGCCGAGCAAACTGTAAAAAGCACAGTAATAGTACATTCCCATATGACAATCCCTGTGCCACAAGTGAAGGCCCTTGCTTGACGATTCTACCTGAATTTCAAGACTGTAAACGCATGGGCATAGCTCCTCTCAAAGGAACTGGGGTGGAGACCCAGGAAGGTGACGGGGTGTGGACCATCTCCCAGATGTCACTGTTCCTTCACGATGGAGAAGCAGTTTGTTCTTTGGGTCCGTGTTGCCCCATGCCGGGCTGTCAATGACAATTCACCTATCCGGATAGAAATGTGTGGCTATATTTTGGGGGAGTTCTCAGTTCCTGACGCAACAGGACGCAGGAATATAATGAGCTGAAATACTTGTAATTGACCAGAACCGTCTCAAACTACAAGTACATCAGACTCAAACACAAGGCCAAGGCTACCTGGTGGCAAGAAGAGGGTACGTGTGAACTGGGCTGAACCAGGCTTCCTTCCTCCGCGGCATGCTGTCATAGATTAAAAGGTCCTTCTCGGTCAGTACGACTAGTGCCGGCTTCCACTGCTTCTCACTCTCCCCGGGCACCTGGAACAGAAAACAGGGCGCTGTCAAGTCACAGCCTGCAGGAGGAGAGACGAAAGGAGAAGCTGGCTTCCCCCGCAATCAGAAGACCTGACCATAGGAGCCTTGGGTTCAGGTCGTGAAATTAAAATGAGAAGAAACCATTCATGGTCGCAGGATTCTTGATTCTGGAAAATATGTTTTCTCAAGGGCCCTGGCACGGATCGTCAGCACAGCCAAGAAGGAGCCCAGCTGCCAGACATCTGTCACTGTTTCTAACCTGCCAGTCAGCCCTGAAATCACTATTTCAGAGTGGGACACAGATGCTTGGGGAAATAAGCACTCCCAGATGGTTCTCTGGTAGAGTACATTGTTTTTATCAGGAAATGGTAAGGTTTGAAAGCTTTTGAAGAAATACCCAAAGGCTCTGAAAATGTATTATGGCGGCAAATGTCTGTCTGGAGAGGTAGGAGACATCAGAGCCCTTCATCTGGACTGTTTCTGTGACTCAGGCACCATCTTAAAATTCTCTTAGTTTCACTCAGCACAGAAAATTCCTTAACTCTGGGAGTGAAATGACCTGGCAGGGATATAAGAGGATTCAAACGTCAAGCTGGATGTTTGGAGCAGGTGACCCTTAAGGTCCCTTCCAATCCTGGGAGTCAGGTAGCTCAGGTCTTATCTCATGAGCCACCCCCGCTCCCCGGTATTGATCACCAAACTCTGTACATGTTCTTCCATCTATGAAAATTCCCTCCTTCCAATGTGAACTCTGGGCCCTGAGATACATCTTTATGCTCAGTTTGAAAACACTGTGTTAGCCTTGTGACTCAAAGCATGGATCATGTCCCAGGAGCATCATCAGCATCACATCCTAGACCTATTGAATCAAAATCTGCATTTTAGCAAGACCTTCGGGTGGCTCATTAAAGATTAAGAATCACTGCACTATATGAAGTCAAGGTCGTCTTTGACACTGGCAATTCAGTGAAGGTTCAACCCTTTCATGACAAACCACAATCCAAAATCTATTCAAAATTAAGCTAGGCAGTAAACTGAATAAATGATAAAGCTAATTTCTTCCCTTTCTATTCTTATTACTTTTCTTAAGTGCCACAGTGATATCTGTATTGAAGTGGCTTTAAGACTGAATGATCAAAGCAGAGAAGATGTGCAAGATGGCAGAAGGGGTGAGACTTATAGGTTACACAGTTTTATGGGCTGCCTGAATCTGAGTCCCCCTCTCTCCATTATTTATTGCCCAGGTGACTTTGGGAGAGTTATTATTCTCTGTCCTTCTATTTCCTCACCGATAAAGATAATATCGCACACAACAGTGGTTAAGAGTGTTGTCTCTGGAGCTAGAATGCCTGAACATAAATCATAGCTCTTCCCAATTTACTAGCTGTGGGATCTCGGCCAAGTCAGCTCATCTCTTTGTATCTCAGTTTCTGTACCTGTAAAATGGGGAAATAATAGTACCTATACCCGAGGACTGTGGTGAAGGTTGAGTTAAAATGTCTAAAATGCGGGGTGCCTGGGTGGCTCAGTCGGTTAAGCGTCTGCCTTCGGCTCAGGTCATGATCCCAGGGTCCTGGGATCGAGCCCCGCATCAGGCTCCCTGCTCAGCGGGAAGCCTGCTTCTCCCTCTCCCACTCTCCCTGCTTGTGTCCCCTCTCTCACTGTCAAATAAATAAATAAAATCTTTAAAAATAAATAAATAAATAAATAAATTAATTAATTAAATGTCTAAAATGCTTACCACAGTGCAGAATAAGCACCATTTAGAACCTGGTAAGTAGCGTATAACTCATAATGCTAGAGTGGAGATTAAATAAGACCGTACACGGGGGGCGCCTGGCTGGCTCAGTCAGTAGAGCATGTGACTCTTAATCTCAGGGTAGTAAATGCAAGCCCCAAGTTGGGCGAGGAGCCTACTTTAAATAAATAAATAAATAAATAAATAAAGACCACGTATATAGTGTGCTTAGCATAATATCTGGCAGATGGTAAGACCCTCAGTGAACCATAGGGTGGGAAAATTGTAGCAGACTCACTGGTTTCTAAACTTGTCAAAAGGAATTCTTTGGAAATGGCAACAATATGACACTTTCTTTGGGAAAAAAAAATATATAAGGAAACCAAGAATATCTTCGGTGCTAACAATTTCAACTCATTCTTTTCCCATCCATCGCAGAGTTCTTCCAGGAAGAATCCATTACACAATGATCATGCACCCCTTCCAACAATTCCAAATAAAAACTCCCCTTCAGGGCGCCTGGGTGGCTCAGTCAGTTAAGTGTCTGCCTTTAGCTCAGGTCATGATCCCAGGGTCCTGGGATCAAGCCCCACATGAGGCTCCCTGCTCACTGGAGAGTCTGCCTCTCACTTTCCCTCTGCTCCTCCCTCCTGCTTATGCTCTCTCTCATCCCCTCTCTCAAATAAATAAATAAAATCTTAAAAAAAAACAAAAACCCTCCCTTTCTAGAAAGAAGAAATCACTGTAAAGCTATTTATACTAGAATGTGAATAACTACCTGACTTATTTCTCCAATTATGCATTTGATACATATTAAAAAAAATCTAGTTTTAGCCTATTGCTTTTTCCAACAGAACAACAAATCTTTAAGATATCAAAATAAATTGTTACAGCAAGCAATGTACTAGACCTTGAGCTATAGTCTCAAGGCATAGTGTTGGTGGGGTTTGGAATAAATTTTTTCTAGCCTCTACATTACACTTAGTAAATTACTTTTCCAGTTCAACAAATTGGACTGGAAAAGCTACAAATGATCCTTCCAAAGTGCCTATCTCACTTACCTAGTCAGATCTGCTCCATTAACTTTGACTGGGACCATTTAAATGTGAACACAAATAAGCATCATTCTTCAAAAACAGTATTAAGTTGGCAAAATAAACCTTAACAGTGAATGCCAACAGTAAAATGCAGATCTTTCTAATGGTGGAATCACCAACTCACTCACGTGTCAAATAGTATAGATAGGTATGAGTCATTCTAAAGCCCTAAAATATTTTGTGGTATATATATATATATATTATATATAAAATATATATATATTTTGTGGTATATATATATATATATTATATATAAAATATATATATATTTTGTGGTATATATATATCTTATATATATATAAGAACTGATCATGTTTCTCATGAAGAAGGCGAAGGAGAAGACACAGGGAAACAGACACACAATTCTGAAATTACCCTGAAGCACAACTGGGATCAGCTGAATCCTGTCCCCTTCGTCACTTCGGCAGAGCATGAGAGAAAAGGTTTACAAAATGACAAGACGAATTTGAGACGGTGGAAAGAAGTCACTGGTAACAACTGAGGGAAGTAGAAATAAATGTAGGAGATCACGTTGTATCTCTTAAACTTACAAAATGTTACATGTCAATTCTCTTTCAATCAAAAAAAAAAAAAAAAAAACCTGAGGGAAGTAGAGTCATTAAATCCTCTGAGACAGGGCTTGTAAGTCATCTACGTCAGCAGCTTTCAAACTTTTAAATTTCTTTGATCATTCTGATCAGATTAAATCACAGGTCAAAGAACAAAATGTAAAACAATTGAAAGAGGCTCTGTATGGGGTTACAGCCTGGTTGAGATCCGAGACTTTATGCCTTTGTCTTACCGCCAGCCACACACGAGCCGCACCTCTGAGCGAGGCTCCTAGCAACCACTGGGATACAGTTTGAAAGCTGCTGACCTTGTTTTCTCTAAAATACCTAGAATCTGCAGATTATTTTCAGAGACAGTTGTACCAAAACCTCTCAGTACCTTTTTTGTAGGTTATTTCCAAAAAAAGACTACTACTGCGGTTGCCTAGGCAAAGTTGTAATGATAAAATTAATTAATACACACAGACGGCTTAGAAAAGTGTCTTGCATACAGTAAGCAAGCAAGTCTTTAAAAATAGTAGCTACTCTAATTCGGAAAGATATATGCACCCCTATGTTTATAGCAGCATTATTTACAAAAGCCAAGATATGGAAGCAATCTAAGTGTCCATTGCCAGATGAGTGGATGAAGAAGATATGGTGTGTGTGTGTGTGTATCATTATGTGTGTATATATATACACACACACACACATATATATACCATTATATATACCACTATATATATATATACACACCATTATATATCTATCATTGTATATACCATTATATATATGTGTATGTGTGTGTGTGTATATATATATATATATTCCATTATGTATAATGGAATATTACTTAGCCCTATAGAAGAATAAGATCTTGCCATTTGTGACAACGTTGATGGACCTAAAGAGTATTATGTGAAATGAAGTTAAGTCAGACGGAGAAAGTCAAATAACCTAAGATTTCACTTACATGTGGAATCTAAAATACAAAACAAACAATGCCAAAAGACAGAAACAGACTCAAATACAGAGAACAAACTGGTGGTTGTCAGGTGAGAGGGGTATGGGAGAATGAGCGCAACAGGTAAAGGGGAGTTAGAGGCAAAAACTTCCAGTTATAAACAAGTCATAGGGATGAAAGGTACAGCATCGGGAATATAGTCAATAATGTTGTAATAACTTTGTATGGTAACCAATAGTAACGACACTTACTGTGGTGATAATTTTGTAATGTACGTAATTGTCCAATCACTATGTTACACATCTGAAACCAATACAGTATTGTATGTCAACTATACATTAATTTAAAAGAAAATGTTAGATATTCTTATTACCACATCAAAGTAGGAATAGTGCCTATCAAACAAAAGATCTGAATAAACTCGGGTAAGAATTACTTGCCTCTCTGGGTCTAATGTCCTCCCTTGTCAAAGAATGGGGTAAGACAGGGGAGCCTGGGTGGCACAGTCAGTCTATGTATCCAACTCTTGGTTTTGGCTCAGGTAGTGATTTCAGGGTCCTGATCTCAGGGACCTGAAATCGAGCCCCAAGTCGGGCTCCACGCTCAGCAGGGAGTCTGCTTAAGATTCTCTCTCTCCCTCTGTCCCTCCTCCCCAC